GGAAGAATTAATTTTTTTTATAGTATAAAATGTTGGCCATTAAACAAAAATAGTTACTTGTTAGTGAAAATATAAATAATGATGACATTTATAAATATAGGAAAAAATAAATAGGATACTAAGTAGAAGACCAATAATTACATGCGTGTATTAATAAATATATTCTTTTTTTTTAATAGTAGTTTTTATTTTAAAACTTTCAAATACTTGTATTATTATTTTTATTTAAAATGACACTCATGATCATAGGGCTCAACTTGATTTGTATCATAAACATTTTAATATCTTATATTACACAATAAGTTAGATAGATAAATAATATATTTATTATTTCAATTTGGATTGGCAAATTATTTTTTATTTTTACTTATGAAGATAGATATAAATATTTTTATTTTAGATATGCAACATAAATGTTGATTCAAAATATCAAAAAGATGATTAATTCTATATGTCATAATAAAACATTGATAATTGTTGTTATGTGAAATTTAACAACTATAATTACAAGGATTAAATGAATAGAAAGCTGTAAAGCTGTAAATTAGCTGGATTTTTATCATCTTTAAGACGAATTCAAGTTCAAGAAGTCGGTTATATGTGGAACCGAGTTGTTTTATATGTGAATTTAATGTGTCGGAAAAAGATCCTCGTACAGGAATAAATGATGCTATTTATAGTAATCACATGCTCGCTTTCCGAGGCTAGTTCGACCACATTAAATGCATTTTAACGGTCTAAGGGTAGCTGGTCTTTAGGCTGCCCCACAAGTAATGATATCAATATGGGAGGTTGATTGACAGGCGTCCCATATCGGCATCTAATCCTCCGGCCTGATCTCGATTACACAGGGAGGTCGATTCTTCTTCCAGTTCACCCCGAGGTCTTCCAGGTCGGATTCCCATTCTAATATTTTACACACAGTCGGATCAGCGTCTCATCTTCCACGTGGCTTCTTTTGACTGGTCTAACCAAGTCGGTTGACAACAATAATAATAAAAAACTACTAATTTTTAAAATATAATTAAATTTATTTAAAATAATTTTGTAATTTTAAATTCTATTAGGCATGTGTGAAAATTTGTACATACACAAACTACTCCAAAATATCAAAAAATTGACACACATGAATTGCAAAACACCATAAATAACCTACAATTACAAAACACCATAAAACACTATAAGTTGACGGATGGGGAAACTCTAAATATACATAGAAGACTATTTTTTATGTAGAATGTGCAATAAAGATTTATATATTTAATTTAAAAAATTAAAAACAAAGCATAAGAGGAAAATATTAAGGAGTGCATTAGTATATTTTTAGTCATGGTGAATGAAAACTCAAAAACTTTTAATATCCAAATGACACTCTAAATATTCTTTAGTGCAAATTCAAAGTAGTAATAATTGTATATTTAAAATAATGGGTTTATATTTACAAATACCAAACACAAAAAAATTAATAGTATTAAATATTAAATTCCCGAATCCCTGGTGGCCTAATAAATTCCCAAAAAAGAGTAGGCTTGGCAGTTGGCATTACATAGATATTATACAATCTTCATTCTTCATGCACGAATTTTAAAGTACACCTACCTGGCTACTAACAAACCCGCCCCTCAAACTTAATTATATAGAATCACATTTTTTGGGTCTTCCTTCAACATATATTAAGAAAAGAGAAAAAGTTGCATTATTTTGCTTTAGACCGCCATGGAAATTGAGGCGTCGGACGACGGTGGTTGTATGACGGTTCATAGTGGCCACGGTGGTGAAGTAGAGGCGGCGCCGCCACGGCATGGCGGGGAGGCGTATTTGGTTTGGCAGGATTTGACCGTTGTGCTGCCCAATTTTGGGCAGGGCTCAGTAAAGAAATTGCTTAATGGGCTCAACGGGTACGCTCAACCGGGTCGGACCATGGCTATTATGGGCCCTTCGGGCTCTGGCAAATCAACTCTTCTAGATTCCTTAGCAGGTCATTTTTATCCCATTTTTTTTTTTTTTTATCAATACAACAAATTTCATCAAAGAGTAGTCACACTTGCTACCTTTGTTTGAGCTTTTGCTTATCTATTCTGGTTATCTTTCATCATATTGGATGGAATTCAATAATTTCACTTATTATACATGAGGAAAAATAATAATATTGAGGACATATATATTCTTTTTCACAAACTCTGCTGCTATTCACATTCATATATATATTTAATAAAAATACTAACTTAATCTATGAAATGTCATATTTTTATTAATATCATTTTTAAAGTATGATATTTGAGCATACAACTCAATCAGTTGAACTGTTTTACACATTTGCTGACTCTCGATCGGCCAACAGTGTCATATACATTCACACAATGATAAGGTCTCACATGGGCCCATTTAAATGAAATATTCAAATCGACTTAGTGTAATAGTTTATATACCTTCATGTAGAAATTATTCTTTAATATCTTCTAACAGCATTGGGACCTTATTTGTTGGTTTTGGCCTTGCAAACTCTTTACAATTAAGAGGTTTAATAATCCTCAAGGGCTACAGCTAATCTAGAGATTTATTGTGAGCTGCCATTTTCTATGCATGAACATACACAGGCATACAAAGAGGTTTAAATGCCCATGTGAGCAAATATAAATAGCAAAAGTATACATATGTAAATAATGGGTCCCTTTGCCTATTCTGTTAAAAATAAAAATGGTGGTCCTGTTAGCCTCTCAAAGGTGTTTTCACTTTAACCCACTAAGGTAAAAACTGATGAACCATTAACTTCCTGTCAGTATATTACTATGCATCTCTGAGTATTTAGGCCTTGCTACAAAAATATGAATAATGAGAGATTTGAATGATGATTGAGTAAAAATATTAGTAATATTTTTGTTGATGCATGAGGGCAGGTAGATTATCTACAAATGTTGTGATGGATGGGAATATTCTTCTTAATGGCAAGAAAAGAAGGCTGGACTATGGTGTTATTGTAAGTAGCTCAATATTATCATTATTATTTTGGCAAAATTGTAATTTTAGTCATGTTAGTTTTTGATCGGAATAATTTTACTTTTAGTCATTTTATTTGTCTAAAGTCAATTTTTGGGACACTAACTTACTCCTTATAAAAAATAGTAAATTATGTTGCAATTTGTATCATTTTTGGAACATTACTCATCAAAAACAGTACATTATGTTGCAATTTGTATCATTTTTAGGACATTAATCCCAAAAAATAATGAATCATTTTCGGAATAATGTCACAACAGTTATACAAATTGCAACATAATGTACTATTATTGATGAGGAGAAAGTTAATGTACCCAAAAAGGACTTTAGACAATTAAACAGACCAAAATTGAATTTTTGCCATTTTTTATCCCGTGGCGTTTTTAATACTAAGATCTGAACATTTTGCTATTTGGTCTTATGATTTAAAAATTCAATACAATTTCAGTCTTTTAAGTCCTGTAATTTTAAATTCTGTTACAATTTTCAGTCCTCAAAGGACGAAATTGAAGCAAAATATTAAATCACATGATCAAAAAGCAAAAAAGGTAGAATCTTTGGACTAAAAATGTCACGGCGTTACACCAGCAGGACTAAAAAATTTAATTTTGCCTATTATATTTCTTATATAAACTTAAATTGCCAGATATGATCAATTTCTGGCTCTAACAATTCCATCAAATTTCAGGCTTATGTAACTCAAGAGGATGTGTTATTGGGGACCCTCACAGTCCGCGAGACCCTAACATACTCGGCCCACCTAAGGCTCCCGACTTCCATGACCAAACACGAAATACGAGCCGTGATAGACAGAACAATCTCGGAAGTCGGTTTGCAGGAATGCGCTGACCGTCGAGTTGGCAACTGGCAGGTGAGGGGCATAAGCGGCGGTGAAAAGAAAAGGCTGAGTATTGGGCTCGAGATTTTAGTCCGGCCCCATATACTGTTCTTGGACGAGCCCACCACAGGCCTGGATAGTGCAGCCTCGTTTTTTGTGGTCCAGGCAATCAAGAATCTGGCCCGAGATGGGAGGACTGTGATCTCGTCCATTCACCAGCCGAGTAGTGAGGTTTTTGCTCTGTTTGATGATCTCTACTTGCTCTCGGGAGGCGAGACAGTCTATTTTGGCGAAGCCAGGAACGCGGTCAAGGTAAAAAAAATCAGATTATGAAGGTAAAAAAAAAAAAAGAAAAAATCAGAAAAAGTGATCTTTAGTATTAGCTGAAAGAAANAAATTAATATTGTGTGGCTCTTGTTCATTCTTTTTATTTATTTACTAATAGCAGGAAGGACAAAAAACGTCGGATCCTTTGATGAATTTGACAACGTCCAACATAAGATCGGCGCTTATCGAAAAATACAAACAATCAGAGTATGCAAAAATGACGAGAATCAAACTTGAAAAATTCTCCAAAACCGTATGTGATTCATGGACTTTAGTTTACAAAATCTCATCCTATTTTTGTTCCAAGTTAATAAGCTGGTCAAAATTGCAGCAAGAACTTGAGCTTGAAATACTCAAAGGAAGTGAAGCAACTTGGTGGAAGCAACTCTCAACATTAACACGAAGGTCGCTCGTGAATATGTGTAGGGACACCGGCTATTATTGGACTCGCTTAGTCACATACATAATTGTTTCACTATGTGTGGGGACTTTATTCTACGATGTGGGAACAAGTTATACAGCCATAGTTGCAAGGGGAGCTTGTGCCGGTTTTGTAGTCGGCTTCATGACTTTCATGTCCATTGGAGGTTTCCCATCCTTCATCGAGGAAATGAAGGTAAAAAAATAAAAATCACTTGAACATTAACAAGATATATGCATATGACTTGAAACTTTTGTTAAGTCCCAAAATGTTTGTTTGATTTTTTAATTTGTTAACAAACAGGTATTTTCTCGAGAAAGGGTTAACGGGTATTATGGCGTGGGAGCCTTCATACTATCGAACTTCATATCCTCTTTCCCGTTCTTGGTAGCTATCGCGACAATTAGCAGCGCAATCACGTTTTTTATGGTTTTCCAGGCGAAGTTTTCCCATTTCGTGTTCTTCTCGCTTAATCTATTTGGATGCATAGCTATGGTGGAGAGTGTGATGATGATTGTGGCTGCTTTGGTTCCTAATTTCTTGATGGGAATCATAACCGGAGCTGGAATTCTCGTAAGGATAGATAGATCGATCCAAAATGTTGTTAATTATATATGTACCGCTTGTTCGTTTACCATATTTGTTTGCGTGCAGGGTATTATGATGCTGACATCGGGTTTCTTCAGGTTCTTGCCCGATCTTCCTAAGCCCGTTTGGAGATATCCTGTTTCGTTCATCGGATATGGTTCGTGGGCACTACAGGTAATCCAAACGGAGGAATAATTTCAAATTTGGTCCTTTTACTTGTCTAAAGTCCGTTTTTGGTACACTAACTTACTCCTTATCAAAAATTATAAGTTATGTTGCAATTTGTATCATTTTTGGGACATTACTCATAAAAAACAGTACATTATGTTGCAATCTGTATCGTTTTTAGGACATTAATCCCAAAAAATAATAAACCATTTTGGAGATAAATGTCCCAACAGCGATACGAATTGCAACATAACGTGCTGTTATTGATAAAGGAAAGTTAATGTACCAAAAAAAGGACTTTAAACAAGTAAAGAGACCAAAATTGAAATTTTTGCCTAGTATGGAGCACAAAGTGTAATAATGGACAATAATGTTACTAACAACAAACAAAACGAAAAATCGAAATAAAATGCAGGGGGAATACAAGAATGCACTGCTGGGCTTGGTGTTCGACCCGATGATGCCCGGTGACCCTAAAGTAACGGGAGAATCGGTGGTGAAGGATATATTCGGAATACCGTTAACTCATTCAAAGTGGTGGGATTTAGTAGGCTTGCATGTCCTCATTGTGATTTACAGAGTAATATTCATGCTCGTCCTCAAGTTGAAAGAGACTCGACTTACACTCACGTCACTCTTACGTTGGGTTTATGCAAAGAGAACTGTACGTTATATGAAAAGACATGCTTCGTCCCAACGCTTGCCTTCTTTTTCTTCCAAGACCCATAATACTCACCCGCTTTCGGCACAGGAGGGTCTTAACTCGCCCATCATCTAGGAAATAGTATACCATCACAAATTATTGGGATGCATTTTGTATCTTCAACTTCTGCCATCACCAGATTATTATTATTATTAATTTATTTTTCCAGATTTATTTTATTCGTGCTCGATTATTATTTTTTTCGATTATGTGCTCGTAATTGTCTAATTGTATAATTGAATAATTATTAATATCGAGCCGAATTGTGTTATTATTTTAATTTTCGAACGAACTGAATAATAGTTACTNGACTACATATTTGAACAAGTCATGGTGTTTCCTTTTTTTTCTTGGTTTAAAGGAAAATCAGGTGTTCACCATCTGGTAAATGTTCATTCTTGCTTTTAACCCACCTAGTTTCAAAGGTATTCTATTATGTTTATGTATAATACTCAAGTATACTTCTTCAACACGTGCATATACGACAAAAAGAAAAAAAAAAGAAGTCAAAATTTTCAAGGAAAAATTCCAACAAAATGTATTCCAATTACAATTTTAATGGATATTGCAATGTTGTTACTTTCGTTGGAATTTTCTAATGGAATCCAAAGAAAATTCTAACAAAAATATTTCGTTAGAATAAGTTTTTCATTAAAATTTTTGTTAGATTTTGACGATTCCGACGTTAGATTTTTTTCAACAGTTGAAATATGAGTGAAAATAATTTCCACAAAAATTGCATATTTGAACGTAAACTCATACAGTAAAAAACCGTTGGAAAAATAGTTGTTTGAATCATTAAATTTCATCTAATTTTCAATAGATCAATACATATTCCGACAATTTTTTTTGTTGGAATTTCTGTTGAAATCATTACAAATGAAACTATATCATTAGAATATCATTTCGAATTTCCATTAGAATATATTACTGTAGAATTTCGTGTCGGAATATGACAATTTTTTTTTGTAGTGATATTTATTAACTAAAATTTTATATTTTAAAAAATAATATAAGTGAAAGAATAACATTATTAAATATTTATTAATGTTTGTCCTACATCGGATATATATATATATATATATAGGGATTGGTTCCAATGCATCCCATTATTTAAAGTGAGAACGTGAGACTCATTCCTAGCCACAAGATTTAGATCTTGATTTAAGTAATAATTTTTATTTTTATTATTTAATTCTTTATTTTTAATTATTTAAATATTATTATGACCATTGACCGTTGACTCCGGCGTTGACCGTTGACTTCCGGCGTTGACTTCCGACGTTGACCGTTGACCATTTGTCTTTTGTTATGTTATTTCTTTCTTGCTAGGTTAGTTGTTTGTTGTTGCTAGGTTAGTTATTTGTAGCTGCTATGTTAGTTGAGTTTTGTTGCTAGGTTATTTTTTTCTTGCTGCTAGGTTAGTTGTCTTTTGTTGCTAGGTTAGTTCTTTCTTGCTGCTAGGTTAGTTGTCTGATGCTGCTAGGTTAGTTGTCTTTTGTTGCTAGGTTAGTTGTCTTTTGCTGCTAGGTTAGTTGTCTTTTGTTGCTAGGTTATTTCTTTCTTACTGCTAGGCTAGTTGTTTGATGCTACTAGGTTAGTTGTCTTAAGTTGATAGATTGTTTCTTTCTTGCTGCTAGCTTAGTTATCTGTAGTTGCTAGGTTAGTTGTCTTTTGTTGCTAGGTTAGTTGTCTTTTGTTGCTAGATTAGTTCTTTCTTGCTGCTAGGTTAGTTGTCTGATGGTGCTAGGTTAGTTGTCTTTTGTTGCTAGATTATTTANNNC